CCATGAAGCTATGAATCCATCTTGCCTTACTCGTACTATGCAAGGGTCTGGTGGGAGTATTATAATATGGGGCATGTTCTGCTGGCATAGAAGTGGTGCCTTGGTGTTCCTCGAGGGTAAATAAAAAGCCATGAGATACCTAGATATACTAGCAGATAAAGTGTACCCTGCAATGTTCCATTTTTACCCTGATGGCGACGGATACTTCATGGACGATAATGCAACTATACATCGTGCCATAAGTGTTCAAAATTGGTTTGCTGAACATCAGTCTGATTTCCAACACTTTGCCTCGGCACCGCTTAGCCCGAACTTTAACCCCATAGAAAATGTGCGGGATATGGTGGAAAGACGCATCCGATAGCACTCTTTTCTTCCATCTAATTTACAGGATTTAAAAAGCACGCTGCATAGCCAATGCATGGTATTCTCTGGACGTAAATGCACTTCAGTAGCATGTAGACTCGATGCCCAAACGAATCAGAGCAGTTATCCGTGCAAAAGATAGTCCAATAAAATATTGATCTTGGGTTTCTAATTCATTGGCCAATGCGCGTACAAATGAAATAATCTATTTACACCGCCGGCCGTTAAAATTGCTACTTCAGGACGGAAACTCATAATAAACCTCAATTTTGAATAAAATATAGGATATGCAAATGAGTTATAAGGTATTTCTCCCACCTTCTTAGCAAGCCTTGGTAGTGTAGTGGTCTGCACGCTGGGCGCGTATCCAGAGGTCCATGGTTCGATTCCCAGCGAGGGCGTTGCTCTTTTATCATATCTCCTGTTTCAAACATAACCTAATGACTCTACAAAATGTATGATGCAAAATTTTAGGCATATAATGGAACTGAGCATATTACAGGTAAAATTAAAGATATCTCAACGCAGTATAAAATGGAAGACTTAAATATCGATTATTCATTTAGAAATGGCGTTTATTCGTTGTTTTTTGCGATGGAGATCATGTTATGCCTCGCATAAAAAAAGAGGAACTCATACCACCATATTTCAGAATTCGATCATGGGAAAATCATAACTTATCACAACTGCGAATTATTACACCACACGTCTGTTATTACACCACACGTCTGTTACTCGTGTTGATCGAGAACCAGTGACTTTTATATGAGAATGTACAAATTTTGGGTCCAGAAGGATAACATAAAACGACATGTTAGATCTCAGTGGCCTTTAGCTCCATAATGACTGAGACAGCAAACATTAGGGATTAAAGAACTATATTACGCAATTGGGTAAAGAAATTAGGATGGCTTGTCTTGCGCAGCACCAGGTAGCTGCACGTACGAGTCCAACGATGTCAACAACGCCACAGATGGTCAATAAATCTGTCATTGCTTTGTTTCATACTACAATCTAAGAATCAGGGTCAAAAATGGTGCATTCAAAAATACATAACGAAGCATTAGTGGCGTAATGTCATCTTTTTTCATGAATCCTCTTTGCTTAGAGTGTCAGAATGCCGTATTCTTATGTAGAAGTACAGAGTGGGTGGAACATTGGAAGCATCCTTCACCGTCACGCAGGACCAGCACTTAAGCCGACACAGAGCATCATTGTGTATACAACCCATCCACCTCTGGTCTGCATTACCTAATACTATAACCAGTTACCGTACATTACCGAGCTTTTAATGCCCATCGCTCTGCCGTACTTTCGAGGTCTCCGTAATCTTACCCTTTAACAAGATAGTATAAAACTATCGGTATCAAGATGAGTTATGAAAATCGAAAGTTTGTCGAAACCTTTTTGATATGAAGGTTATAGCGATTCTAGTATACAACTGCAGCAGAATTATAGTATTGTATAATATAACCCAAAGGCACTGTAAATACACACTATTATTACTACTGTTCAGTTTTGGAATGTAACTTGTGAAAGTAGTCATACTTTCTGCAGAACAATTCTCTATATCAGGGTTTCTCAATCTTTTTTTTACCCTGCACAACCCTTTCACTACTGCTAGAAGTTCGTTCCCCTGTTTCTAAAACTTTAACAATACGTATACATTTATTTAGATTCAGGCTAATTTTTAACATATTTTATTAATTAAACAGCAGAAAGTATAGGACATGTTGATAAATACCAAAGCTTGAATACAAGTAGTTTGTTCTATACTCATGAACTAAAACAAAATGCTGAACAGCTAAATAAAAGTTTGATTGTATTCCACCCCTTGGTTGAGAACCCCAGCTCTATATGTTGTATAATCTATGGCCGATTAGTTTGATCGGTGACGGTGGGAAATGTTTTATCTGTCACACTTCCCGAGTCGCTGTGATTATGATGTAATTTTTATGATGAAGGAACTATTTCATGGCAATCATTTCTGAAATCCTTTAGCAACAGAAAGTCCCACTCTAACTATCAACAGAATATAAACTGTTAAAGATATAATGACTTCCACAACATTGGCAACAGATTGTATATACAACCTTAGCGATTACATAGAAAAACGATGAAAGTTTCACAGATTTCACTTTTGTACAGTTGTAAATGGAACATTGTCATTACTATTAAAGTATTACCATTACTAATAAAGCAATAAATTCTGGGAAGAAAACTGATTCATCATTTTCAAAGATGTTAATGTGAAATGTATTCATACTTGCCAACCTTTGACACTCAAAAATCAGGAATTTTTTTAAAAAATCAGGAGATTTTTCTCAATGTTAAAAAGACTTTTTAAATGATAAAAATATAGTTTTAATAATGAAATCTTTAATGTAAACTAATTCTTAAATGCAAGCAACAAAAAAAATACCTACAGATAAAAAACATTTTTATTACTTGCACGTTTAAGAAAATAATAATACGAGTAATAATAAAAAAAAAGACACTTTAATCAGTTTCGTACAAATGTTATAAACAGTGGCAGATTTTGCTTTCTTTAAAGAAACTTCTAATTTGTTCATAGCAATTGCCATGTAGGCCTGTTCACTAATAAAAGTTTTTTAAGTGTCATCGTTAATATTAGATCTAAAATTTAGTCCTCGTTTTTGCAACAACACTGAAAATCCTCACATCCGCATTACTATGGGGAACTGTAAGATGGCCAACATAATTCTAGACAGTCACTATATTTTAAAATTCCATCAGCACCTTTCAGTTTCCAATTAAACTCCATGGGTATCAATCTAGCTGATTTTATAAATTATCAAGTTTCTAATCGTAAATGCTGTTATGAAGCTTTTGGAACTGTTTCAATTTTTTCCTTTAGAACTCCTTTCAAGATAATAATAAATATCAACAATGTGTTAATCCACATTATTGAAAGAAGATACCCCTTTTTCGGATGCTAAATTTAAGAGTGACAGGTGCACTCATATCGCCAAATCTGAATTTTCTTTCTTAAGAGCCTGAAAGCCTACCAATACTGGTGCATATCAAGTTTTAATAATTAGCTGTGCTATATTAAGCCTGTCAAATGTTCTTCTAAAGGGGAACTGAAAATAACTGCACTCAATTCTGAAGACTCTAGATAAAAAAAGAAGCAACAATGGATACAGTTTTGAATCAGTATTATTGTTCCATAGTAGAGAGGCAGAACGGAGTTGTTTAATGCAATCAATAACTCAATATTTATTTCAAAACCATTTCTTTAAAATTGCACCTGTTTTGGTTCTTACACTTGAGTATTTCTTAGCGATTTCACGATCGGGAAACATTTTTCTAAATAACTGCAGTGTGATACTATGCATTCAGTGGCAGGTAGTGCTCAAGTAAAAAGGCAGAGAACAGAATTCGGCATTAATAAATTTTTGGTCCTCTGTTTAAAGAAAAAATTTAATTTTCCATTTTTCCCCCCAAAAACAACTCATGTTGTTTTGTACGCACAGGTGAGACATACGCCCTTCCACCATGCAATCGTACGACAGGCGGTACACATCTCAAATTATTACTTTCCTGAGGAAATAATGGAAGGAAAGTCAACTGTGTACGATTTTTAACGTACACGAGTACTCACCTTTCTCGCAGACATAACAAAAGATATAATTTCTAAAAAGTATATCCCCAAAGGCATGTGTACTCACACAACTCAGAACAAAATGAACGAAATAACTAAAGAACATCCAAATAACAGCTTGCTTGTCCTCATTAGCTAATATATGCCAGATGACATGCAGTGGAGCTCGATACCATTGGAGAACTGGAGAACGATTGTTTCTGGATCGTTTATTCTCTCACTCACAAAGTAGAAGTTATCTAATTGCAAGGTTTTGTTTTTAATATAATCTAGAGAAAATTCAATTGCTTTCAGACGTCCAAAATATTTATTATTATTATTATTATTATTATTATTATTTATTATTATTTTTTTTTTTATATATATATATATATATATATATATATAAGAAAGTATTAAGCCAAGTTCGTGAGAAATGTTAAGAATAAGGAAAAGTCGGGAGAAATATATTGTAAATCGGGTTGGCAGGAGAGCGGTCGAAAATCAGGAGTCTCCCGCCTAAATCGGGAGAGTTGGTAACTCTGTATATTAATAAACGATCATCTTAGTGCAATAAAAAAAGAGTTCCATCTTTGCTCATTTCCATTTCATATCAGGAAGACTTTCTACAAAACTCGTCTTTAATTGAAGTATTTATATAATTAAACCAACTACATAATTTTTTAATTTAATTTTATGCATTACAAGTACATTAATCCAGCATAATATGTAATGTAATGACAATTTTATACTCTGAAACTAGTTTAGTTGTTTTCACATCGAAAAAATCCACATCACATTCTAAGCCAAATTAAAACCCTCCATTTATATATCTAAAATTTGTCATATCCAAGAAAATATTTGCAGTTTTGAAAAATCTCACATAAATCCAGCCAGGAACAATTCATTTTTTTCAATTTTATTTTACATTTATATGTATAATAATTAGAATTTTTTAGATGTATTGTAACTCATTTACCTATGTAAATACAGACACAACAGTAATCATGTTATTAATTTATCTTTTCAGGCTTATGAAATGTGCTTGATGGATTATGATTTCCATATCATACAAAATGCTTTCCTTGTTCATGCGCCAGGCATAAATATTTATAACGTTTCAGAAGCCAAACTGAAATCAAAATACATGTGGGAGAACCAGAAACTTATGTCAGTAATTAAAAACAATTTAATAAAGAAATTCGGCCATAAAAAGGATTGCTGATATTTAAAAAAAATTAATGCATGAGCAAAACGATGTGATGTTCCTAAATTATAGAATTTTAATGTATAATTTTTTTAAGGAATTGTATAGCATTTAGTTTAGTATATTTCTGTAGACATTCACACACAGTAGAAAATTGTTTGCATTATAACATACTGCCTAACACATTTATAATGATTTTTTTTTAAAAATAAAGTTGGAACTGTACACAGAAAGAAACTGAAAGAGATGTAGCAGTTAAGCTTAGTTTAATAGTTAAAATGATATGCTCAGGAAATGTATTCAATAATAATTTTTTAATAGATTTCCATCTAAAACTGTTATGAAATTGCATTTAATTCATGCATTAATAATATTGCGTATATTTCTTAGTAAAGTCAACTTTTTGAAAACATTCTATACTGTAAAATACTACATGAACAGTATTTATGGCATAGGCTAATTTAACACTTACTATTGCATAATGCACTAAATTATGTTTGACTGCATTTTAACATAGGATAATTATCCTATGTAAATTCCTCATATGGTCAACAGACTGCCTGTGATCAGTTATATGATTTTCAGCTGTGGCTATCAGATACTTTTATAAACAACATGCACATCATCTCAAAACAGCAGGACAGTTTAATTTTCAATAAAATTTATACATTTGTGGTACTACAGTTTTTAATTTCTTTATTATGATCTATTATCAAACTGTATTTTGTGGTACTACTATCAAAAAGTTGGAAGCTTGCTACCGACTAATTTTTCGCCAAGTTAATGAACAAAAGGCAACAGCCATTTTCAAAATGACAGCACTATATGAATTCCATACATCAATCGCTCAATTAAATTAAAAAATATCAGGAAAAAAGAAAACCTACCATTTCCAAGAAATTCCTTTTTTTTGTGCTGTTGTTTTCCTGATGAACACAGCTATTTTTTTACACCTAAAAAAAAATCAGAGTATTGTATAAACTTGATCAGAACAAACATGATACATGCATACCTGGGGCTGCCACATAAATACTTCTCGGCAACATGCTGCTTTCTCTCATGAACGCTTTTTCGCAACTTTTTGTCAAAGGTGTAGATGATCAGAAAGTACCTTGTTTATTAATATGACTAATATTTTATACTTCATTTCTCCTCACAATTACTAATTAGTCTTTCTTTAGACTAATTAGTAATTTGTTTATTTTCAAAATTTATTCCACAAATTTCTTTATTTGTAAATTTGGATAGGTTGCTTGGGAATAATTCCTTAATAGGTTTTCAATTTTTTAACAATAAAAGGGTTGATTTCAATTAAACATTTCAATAACAAACAATTAACCATTCTTGTTATATACAGTTGGATTTCTTTTTACATTCTCATTCTGTTATGAAACATAATTGCTTTTCAAAACCACTCCTTTTTTAAAGGTAAATATCTAAGATATTTATAGACATAACTCTTTTACTAAATACTATCAGAAGAAAAAATAATCAGTTTATAGATCCTGTCTCACATTCTTTTTTTTAGCAATTTTTTATTCCATAATTTGCAAATATGTAAATAGCACTTAGTAAAAATGAATTTAAAAATTAACGCAAAACTTCAGATTAACATTTTGCTATTTGTTACTCATTTGTAATAATTTCATACTCCAAAACTACAATCTCACTGAAATACTTAACTAATATCGTGATACACAACTCCAGTATATAGTAAACATTTACTAAAGGCTCATCAGGTTTTTTTTTTTTTTTTTTTTTTTTAAATTGCACGAGATATAGTTTTAGTAATTCTGAGCTCTGTCTTGAACACTCTCATGGACTATATTTTGGAAACGTATTCAAGCTGTAGTATATTTGGCAGCTTTTTATCACTTTGTGTTTCTTCTGCAGCTGTTAAGTTTTGAATTTTTAATTCTTAAATTTAACATTGGCAAAAAAAAAAAAAAAAAAAAAAAAAAACTTAAAAAAAAAAAAAAAAAACTCTTCTTACGTTAATATGTTGGCATAGAGTCTACAAAATAAATTAATTCTTTATACAGATAACATTCATAAATAATGTGCATAACTGACCTGGATTAACCATGTACTACAAAATTTGCACCCACATTTGAAATGGATTAACTTTCAGTTATCTTACCCTCTCTCTGTCTCTTCATGTAATAAGAATCTAGTGGGAAACTGAAATTTATTATAATTAATGCATGTCTTTCAAAAATTATAATTAAATGTACATTACTTGCTTGTAAATGCTTACAATGTCTATGTAAATAAAACTGTTACAGTTTCTGTTTCTCTGTAATTATTTTCCAAGAGAGCACTAAAGCCATCACTTAATGAAATTCTAGTTTTTTTAATACTTTCCAGAAACTTATAAACACAGTAATTGTTTTGAAAATTGACGATGAGCTATGATGAGACACTACACATTCAGCCATAAATTGTTTTCCTAAGCTGTTAAATACGGAAAGAGGGAAAATGCTTCGAAAAGATCATACAATTAAATATCTCTTCAATGGTTACTGTAAACCTGTGGTTAAGAAATCAATTAAATAAGGCAGACTTTCAGGCTGCAATAATTTTCATCAGATGGACTCTGCTGGTAAAGTTTACAAAAATTGTTTCCCCTTGCCTTCTGCAAAGTTTACACATAATTGCTGTTCTGTAACATGGAAAACTGAATCTGAAAATGTTTGTTGTTCTATTTGAGAACTCCTAATGAATAAATAGTTTTTATCCTGCTCTCCCACTCTGCAAGTACACAGGCAAAAGAAAAGTGAGCAAAGCAGTCTTATGCCATTTGCATGAAAAGAAGTGAGTTAAAAAAGGCTGCATTGAATTAATATGGCAAAAATCTTTGGAAACTTAAATTGTGAGTGCTACATATTAAGTAACAGTGCCATTTACAGCAAGCCTCCACAACATCATTTACTAAGTATGGTCAAAGACAAGCAATGGAACAGTAAAGAGGACAAAACTGCTCTTTTATGGGATTGGATCAGAACAATTCGCTCACTGACATGAATAAATTCTTTACGACTCACTGCTCACTAATAATGACTTTGATGAAAAAGATCCAGAAAAATGGCCGAATCAGAAGATTTTGGGAAGGATGCAGTGAAGAGTGGAAAGAATTGAATGAGCAGTGGATCAGGACTGGTTAGTGAGATTGGATTGAAAAGAATGAATAAGGAGTGGGATTGGAAGAATTGACTCAATCAAATGCTAACTTCCTGAACTGTTTTCTTTCAATTGAAGTTTTAAAATTTCCTTATACATCGTTTCTACAAAGAACTAACAATAAAATTCAAGAATAAATTTTTCCAAAAAGTTAGGAAAGGATAAAAATTAAATTCACTTTTAAAATGGGAGGACAAACATTCTTTTCTACCCTAAAATGAAAATCGAACTGGCACACCTCCAGCAAGAACTTTGTTCTTTTCTCGACAATCAGGCATAAGCTCACTCAATAAAATGAATCCATTCAGGAACGAATTGCAGATCTCTATTTCTGGCATGCTTCCAACAAGATTTCTCCATGAACTGTAAAATAGCTAGGATTCTGTTTTCTGTGTGCAGTGAGTCTGAATTGAAGTAAATTCACTCAGTAAAGTTAATCAATTTTTTAAATCAATTCTGGAGTGGCTCATCTAACTCTACTGGACAGCCTAAAGGTGGGCAAAAATGTTACTGAAGTTGTGACAACAAACAGGTTCTTAGAATGTTATCTTGTATTTGGAAAAATAAAACTGAAATACAAGAGAACAGCTCCAAGCGGATAAAACACTACAATTAGATACAATTTCCCTGTTTATAACTTAATCAAAAAGAAACAGGAAATGCATGGGTACTACAGGCACCCATGTAACTGTTTCAATCGCCTCCCATCAAGTGAATTATAAGAGGGTTATACAGATGAAAGACTGTATACCCTCTTACAATTCACTTGCTATCAGTAAGTCACTTAACACTAACACAAGAAACATTGTGAATAAGGTTATAAGCAGTGTTAAATAATGATTTTTTATTATTTATTGAGAATATGTATTTGACTTTTGTTCCCTGAAAAATTAAATCAGATTGACCGATCACCCCATGAAATATCATTATTGTTACATACTAAAAATAATTTTGGATACCAATTTATATGAAACAAATTTTATTTACTGAAGTAAATATTTCTATAATCAGCTATTTTAATTTATAATAAAGGATATGTAAATATTCATGAAATTCTTCCATAAACATTTTTCTGTTTCATTGTATAAGTGTTGTTCAAATAAAAGTGGCATTGCTGTAATAACTCCACCATTTGAAGAGAAAAATACTCCTATAGAAAGCGCAGAGTGCTAGGCAGAGAGCAGCAAAATAAACAGATATAACGAAAATTTTTTATAGTTAAGATAATTTAATTTATTGTAAAGAATCATGTACATATAATCATTTAAAGTACAGGGTTTAAAACGATTGATTATAATTTTTAAATTAAATAATAGAAAACACTGCATATATACACTGCAACAAATTTAATAACAAATGAAGATTAACAAGACATTTTAAACAAACAAAGATTTGAATTTATTTTATGACACACAGTAATTTGCTTTTGCTGATTGATGAAGATAATTTCTAATTTTAATAAATGATAAAAATAGAAATAATCCAAAATATTTAATATTTTGAAAGTTTGATTTTTAATTTTTTTTTAATTTATTAATTTTAATTTCCTTTTGACAGAGAATACTTCAAACAAGACATTACAATATGTATTAAATACCTATTAAATTATTTTCATTGCAAAATAATTAAATTAATTTTTTTAAATTCCACAAAATTTAAAAAAAGTTCTGAAATTCATTTCCATAATGTACATCAATAAACATTTAGAATATACTGCAATGTGATAAATGTTCAGCTACTTTTTTTACTATAAAGATCATTCTTAAGGTGATAATTGTTAAAAACCACAATACATTATATATTAATCAATATATATTAAAAACATTTTTAAATAGTTTAAAATTATCTTTTAATACTGATCATTCTTATGATCAGTATTAAAAGTTATCAGTATAAATCAGTTAACCCTTTGTAAATGGTGTCTCCTCATGGATGATACAGTCAAAAGTCTTTAATCCGGACTCGTCGGGACACTAACCATTCCGGATTATAGATCATCAGTTTAAATCTGGTAAGATGGCATGCAGAAATTATAAAATTAAAAATACGAAACCATAATTTATGAAATAAAGAGCAATTATGACCCAACGGGTATAAAAATTTACAAAAAAAAAAAAAGCTTAATATTTATTTGTTTACTTTATTAAACATTTCTTTTAATGTGCGCATGCGTAAAGCATACATTACGCATAGTCGAAATTAGAAAATTGCAACCGGAAAACTAGTTGATGTGTACTCGTGATTTTTATAATGACGAGAAATTTGATTTAAATCATATCAAAGACGGAATACATCGAGATGAAATACTACATTTAATAAAAGATTATAAGCTGAATAAAATAAAACATTTACCCTGAAGATAAGGATAGTGCTGACGGGTCAACTTCCAGTTCATTGTGCGCTGCGACGTCCCCCCCCCTCCACAGAGCAACGTGAAATTTATACACAGATTTCGGAATGGTTAGAGAAACAAAGGATATATGCCTTTATCCATTTTTTGCAGGAATTCCACTTTTTATTTTGATGGACATCGAAACATACTTTCGCTTTAGATCCTTTGGCAGCTCCAGCATCAGAAATTCTATTTGATATAATCGAAAGTTCAAGCTTACTTTTATAAAACTGCCCTAACAGTCTGCAAAAAATAATAACCCGGATCCAATTCGAAGATTAAAGAACAACACAATCTGCAACATTAACTGAAATAGATAATTAGATAATTTTAGTTTAGCTTATATCGTCCGTTATACATTAAACGCGCATGCGTAAATGCCTATGCACATGCATGAACGCATTATGCTTTGACGCATGCGCAGAAAGTTTGTAGCTTTGAGGTCCAGAAGATTATAGAGATCATTCCAGATTATGGGTGTCCGGATTAACAACTTTTGACTGTATATCAGCAACTCAATGGCACTTATTCAAGAAAATATATATTATAAATCATGACAAAATGTTAAACTTTATGCAGCTCATAATCTATGCTTATACATCAACTGCATTCAGTTTTGCAGGTCTATTTCTTGCTGCAATCTTAGATCTGCCTATCTGTCCTATCAAACAGTATAATACCCTACAGAGAATATCAACAACTACTAATAATAAATCTATTTCACATACGTAAATGCTCCTTAACACTTTCTTCACAATAGAGTTTAGAGCACATGTGAATGAATTTCACGTCTCTTCTGATATAACACCAGCGAGTATATTTCTATATAGCTTGGTATATAAACCATATTTTGTCTTGATTTTTTATGCTATTTCAATGGAAAAGTTTCAGAAAACATGGATTTTTCAAAATTTTGTTTTGATGCAAGTTTATCCTTATAATAACTAATAAACTTTAATGTTCCCCCGTGAGGACACTTGAGTGATAATGCTAGACAACTGACTTTTTCCCTGAAGGAGTGCAAAGTGCAAATGGTTAAAAATGTTTATCAGAATAATGTCAAGCATTTAATAGCCAGATGAGGATTAATACTATAACAGTATTGGCAGTTATAACATAAAAGTACAGAGTCATAAATTTATTTTACATATACAAAATCTCAGATACTATTAAATTATCATTTAAATAAAAATACTGATTCAAGAATTAAAAATATATATACAACATATGTACGAGATCCATTTTGAGTACATATTTCTCAGATGACCGTGAAGTATAGAGGAAATAAATAATATATGTACAACAACATAGACGTCTTTTTGTTATGTTCTTTCCTTTTCATTTTTTTCCCAATTCATTTGAAGTCTTTAAGCCTATGAGGTAAATTCACCTCTTTCTCTTTTTGGAATTTTCATAATCTTCAGGCCTATGAGGGAAATTCACAGAGCTAGATTCAAAAACTGGAACTAACTGGAAACGTTGTATGGGTTTATCTTTGCAATACAATGGTGCAACTTCTAATAATGTTTCTTCCCATATTGAAGTAACATTTCTGGAAATAAATATGTACGAATGAAGCATGAATAACACATTTACAGCAAAATAAATTTTAAGTAAATTACTTTAAAAGAAGGGAAAAAAGTATTTACATTAGTATTCTACAAGTGAGACCAAAAAAAAAAAATAATTAATTTTTCCTCTCTTTTTTAACACTGCAAGTTGCTAGACATCTAGTTTGACTACTTTACTACAGATAAGCTTTGCAAGATGAAATATCATTTGTCACTTAAGTGAAAGTAGTATGAAATACAGCACATAAATTTTTCATTTGTTAGCATTCACTAAAGCTGAAAATTGATTTTATCTGTAGCCCATTCTCTACAAAACGTCAGGGGGTGGGGAGAAGACTAAATGAAATTCAAAACACATGAGCTTTTCATTTGGCTCAACTTTCAAACTTTCCAGGAGTCTCAGCTCTTATTTTGAACAATAGCTATATATATATATATATTGTTATGGTTTTTGTATTTATTTAGCTATTTTTAGTAGAATTTTGTAATTAAAATTGTTTTATATTCCCGTGCAATGCAGCACAAGACTCATTTGTAGAGAAAGCTATGCTGAAAAAATCAAATTACAGGAGCACGCGCATTTAACATTTTAATAAATAGATATCTCGTAATTGTGCTCCTTTGCTATCCAGAAAAATTGAGAAAATATGAGAAGGTTCTTGTGCATATTTAAAAAACTGGAGGAAAACATCTCAATTCAGTCGTTTACTAAGTTTTTGTTATTGATTGTAGCGAATGGATTGGATTAGCATTCTCTGTTTTGCAATGAGTTTTATTGAATGTTTTAGTAGTTAACAGTGTGGTCCAACCTTTAGTTACTCAAGGGCCAATCAAACATTAGTATAGAAGAGTGAGGGCCAGAGACATTAAAGAAAGAAAATGAATTACATATAAATCACTGGTTTTCATCTCGACTTCTTTAAATCACTGGCTTAATATATCACTTTATTTTACAGTCTAGAAATCAATGTGATAATTGGCACTGCTTTTTTGATACACATTTATCAATGTCCACTGTAATTTCAGTAAGGCTAAGGTCTCAGGCTTGATTCCAGTGAAGTACTTTCAATGAGATTTCTCGTTTTTTAATTTATTTGACAGCAGAAAAAGGCCTTTCACGTACATATCTACTGCCAAACAGCGATAACATTTGCAAAGAGAATTTATGCAGTTTGGGAAAACATTCCTTAGAAACACGTTTCCAGAAATGTTCAGTGACATCACACTTTTTAGTTTGGTAGAATGGATCTGCTTGAAGATCACAAATTTCCATTTGAAGGTCACAAGATACCTCACTTACTTCAGTCTCCATGGGGTTATTTAACAAGTTTTGTTTTTAGGGAATCAAAATCCTGGAATCTGTTCTGGAACTCTTTCCTGATATCAGTAATTATTTCATGAAACATACTAAAATCTGTGTCATTTTCTTCTTTCAGCCGCTGACAAAATGAGAAGTGTGCCATATTATTTGCCTTCAGTGTAACTTGCATTACATTAAGTTTTTTGCCGAAAGCCTTTAATATGTCCATAAAACTGGGATACATTTTGTTTTCTGCCTTATATTTTTTATATAGTTTCAAGCATTTAGACGGGTTGTTAAATCTGTCAGAAAAGCAAGACTATTTAAAAACTGGATTTCTTCCAATTTTCCTTGATACTCATGCCCAATGTTTTCTTTTTTGAGGAAAGCAAGAATTTTATTCCTCAACCCAAAAAACTGTTGCAGACAATTTCCAGCAGATAGCCAGTGCACTTGACAGCACAATAAAATGTCACCATACTCAGCATCCAAACTGTCTACAAATGCAATAAATGCTCTGTGTCTCTGGGCTTTGCCTCCCTTTATTAAATTTACAATATTTACAACAGTTTTCATTGTCTGAGCTTTATAATTTTTGTTATTTAATTATTATATTTAATATAATTTTTTATATTTATTAATTATTATTTAACCCTGTAGGCGACAAGACTGTATATATGTGGCCTAGAATACTTTTTTGTGATACATATATATACATGCATATTAAAATATGTCAAAGAAATTAAGGCAATATATCAAAAGAAAACAAATCCAAGTATGAAATATCAGCTCAGTTTTTACATTAAAATCAAAAAATAAATTGTTCTCATAGTAGTTTTGGGAAATTTATGCTTTCTTAGCAAAAAAAATGGGCTGCTCAGAGAGTTAAAGCAGTAAGAAGGATCTTTTGTTTTTCCAAATGTTTAACTAACATTTTTTTTCCAGTAAAGAAGGGCAAGTGCCAACAAAATGAATAAGAGGGCTGCATGCGGCTCCCGGGTTTAAAATATAACTACTGTGAGATATTGCGATATTGTATGAATATCTCTGAGGAAATTTAAGCATTTTATATTTATTCTTGGGATAAGAATAAATTTCATTCACTTTTCATCGGATTTGTGCATTCAATTTATTACGAACCCGTATGCCCGCAACAATGTGCAACAAGCATATATTTTGTCGAGCCTACAGATAAAAATTTAAAAAATTTTGGGGGAAGAGGGCATAAATCTGTGTTACTTTTCGATCCTCCTCTTTACTTAATGAACAACAGAAAGATTTGGCCAACTTGCATCAGTTCTTCAGAATTTGCTCTTAACATATTTTGAGTTTGAGAAAATGTTTGTTAAAAATTGAATTTTTAGTAATTACTTAAGCAATTTTCAACTATGTAGCAGCTAATTTTATGGCCTACCAACAGTTCAGCAAATCAGGAACTAAATCACTAAACACTGGTAGTTTGGCCTTAGTTCACATTTTTGTGAATACCTGGCCATATCAGAGTTTTTTTCCCCATATGATAAATGTAAGACAGACAGACTTACAAGGACCTGCACAAAGGCATCCCAACCTTTAATGTTCTTGATATTATATTTTTAATTATAATGGTTATTATTATAAATAATATTTTTCTTTTTTGAATTTCATTTTAATTGTTTAAGTTGCATCGTTTCTTTCAAATAACAGTTTTAAAAATATTTATTTACTCATTCAAACTGTGCAGTTTGAATAAAAGGTGCATTGCTTATTTTTTTGCAAATAGTTTCTTTACTATATTTTTTAGGTTATGATTTTAGGTAATTTTTTTTAATTTTAAGACTTTTATTTTAGTTGTTTGCATTTCATTTACTCTTCAGATAATTGTTTTAAAATTTTCTATTCATTCACTTGAACTGCACATTTTAAATATATTTATTAATATAAATTTTCCAGAATTTGATTTTAATTATTTGAATTGTGTTTCTTTCGGAAGAATATTTTGTGACCGAAACTATATGAAGCATTTGAAAACTGCGTATATTAAAAGAGAAAATACAGTAAAGCACAGTTAACACACCTTTCAATGTTCTGTTCAGAAAAGATATATAAATAAGAGAGATGCATATCCAGCATTTTAATTTAGGATGACTTGCATACATTGCTTTAAAACCTGTGCCCATTGTTTTACACATTTTTATCATCCTACATTTAATTTCTTAGCATTTTTGTGGTTTTCTCATGTGTAATATGTATACGAGCTGGTTTCCCTTAGAAAGTTCTTCACGAAGGCATCTCTCCTTTTAGGCAGATAACCCTGCTTTGCCGTAAGTTAACAATCAAATTCAATCCATTTCACCAATATTTGGTCAGAGCCTTTATAAGTCTTTACAGATTAGGCATTTTGAAGGCATGAGATGAAAGGAAAGACTGGTTTCATCAAGAATGTTTTAGGATGACATCCACATACATCATTGGATAAATTCCTGAATCTTCAAATAATTTGACGGAGAAATCATGGGATGCTCCTTTTATGAAATATGATGTTCTATGAAGTAATTTAAATTTATACAACCATATAGTCAAAAACCAATCACTCTTCACTTTAATCTGCAGTGATATCGTTTTTGTCTTTTCCGTAAGCACAAACTCAATTGCGACTATTTGCTGCTGTACACGTGCAAGTGTTTTCTTTTTTGAACACCAAACTTCCTTGAAGTAGATTACCCTTTAAATTTTGCTTGATCCACCCCCCGCCCCCAATTTCCTTCTTTCCTTCTACATTTGTTTTCAGTGCTGACCAAGAAAATTAAGATTTTCGTTGTACAATTAAATTTTGCATTCTTGTCATTTTTTTAAATTCAGTTGCATCAAATGCATTTCAGCTGAAGACTGTTTGTTTCTAGTCATTTAACTATAAATAAAGCAAAGTCCAAAGGATAAATATTTGAGTTAAAAGATTTTTGTTAAATGAGAAAGAAATAAACCACTCCAGCAGCGCTTATCCTGTACCACCGAGTGACCCGATTCTTATATTGGGTGCAAACAATCTAAATCATATTATTTAGAGATTTTAAGCCTAATAATTTCTATATCAAAGAACACGTTTTTTTAATATAAAATACACACACGATAGGAAATTACAACTTAAAACATTCTTTCTAATACGATTAATGTAAAAATTTATATTTATATTTTTGAAAGCTGGGACATCACTTAAACTGTCAACGTCCTGTTTGCTTAAACACATTGTGAAAATAAACATCAAATGAACTTTCTCAGTTTTAGACAATTCAATTTAAATGCAGTTAAAGTAAAGTAGCAGACAATAACACGGTGAAGGTAAAAATTTTCTCTTACAAATACATATAAAAGAGAGAGGACAGAAAGAAATTTTAAAAAGTTAAACATTTGAATAATATCATCAATTATTTAAAAAAAATAGCTTTTCATATAGTATTAATAAATATTTACTATGTATCATTGGGAGAAAAAATTTCATATGATTAAATTCTCTGTAAAACTTTACTTGAAATTTAAGGTTAAAAATAGCTGTGGCAATTCAATGTAACAAAATTCATAAACCACATTTGGCGTTACTATCACTAAAAAAAAATAAAAAGATGCCAAATTTCAAAACGCGAAAATGTGTAAATTCGTGTGTATCTTAAAAAATTTTGAATAAAAAAACTCTAATTTTTTTCA